GCGCCATCGCACTCCAGCCTGGGTAACAAGAGCGAAACTCCGTCTCAAAAAAAAAAAAAAAGATTAACAAATAAACCAAAACCAATCCCCTTTATATTCTAGTAAGGTTTCAAAGAGGAAGTAGAAATTGAATACTTGTGTTTGATGTGTTATCTTTATTGGGAATTTAGTGATATATTTAAGATAGCTCAGTGTTTTCCTCATGTTCATTTTGTACAGCTTTCTGTTTATCTTTCTCCACTAAACTTGGTCTCTTCCAGACAGACAAAATGGTCTTTAGTGTTTGTTGAGCTCTTCAGTCCCCTGGAGGCTTTATCAAATTAGACTTGCCTCTGGCCCCAGATAGGAGGCTTTCGGGGTAGATCTCAGTAGTTTAGGGTGTGAAGCACAGACAGCTAGGGAAGGATCTTGGCATCAGGCAACTTCTTGCTTTCTTGGGGGCCTTCCACGGCAAAGCATTTGTGGCTTTCTAGTGAGTATAATAGAATCTGCACCATTATGGTGACACCCAAGAGTAATATTCAAAACATTTGACAATGGGTGGTGTGGGCAGGACCAGTTCTGGAGCACTTCTGTGCTGTGCTGATGCATGCCACCTGAACAGCCACCCAGGCTTCTACCTGTGTTCCAGAAAGCCCCCAGCTCTCTCCAGCCCCTGCCCTCATGACTTTGCCCTAATTTCCAGAATGGAAGTAGAGAAATGGGTTTGGGCTCCTCTCCTCCCTCCCAGATTCCCTTCCTGAAGCTCATACTGAGTGTCCCTGTGCACAGTGGCAAATATTAGGTACTGTGGAAATAGGATACCCCATCCTCCCTTGGGGGAGGAGTCTGACACCAAAAAGAGGGATGGAACCCAGGAAGCAGTGGAGGGGCAGGGTGACCAAAGTCAGCTTCATCCAGGGAATAGTTCTGTGTTGGAAATATCCAGACTTATCCAAGGCCACCAGAGCCCTGGACATTTTCCCCTACCAATTTGGCTAAGCTGACATCTTTCCCATTGCTTTTCTTCCCTGGTCCCCTTTCCCCTAGCCTCTTTCTGCTTCCCAAAGCCTCAATCAGGCTTCAAGGGGAAGGACGAGGAAAGAGCCAGGAAGGAGGCAGTGTTAGGGGAGGCGGAGACAAAGTCCTCCTTGGACTGACTGGATCCGGCATTTCCTTCGAAATCTGGCAGAAGGTCTTAAACAGATTAGAAGCCCATCATAGGAATGGCTAAGCAGGCAGAGAGAGATTTCTTTCCTGTCCTCTAAATTCACGTATCGCTTATAGATATGTAGCAAGATGAATAAGTATGTATATAAAACTCATTTACATTTTTGAGTATATTTTTAAAAATCAGAAAAAAGTTTTTCTGGACATAGGACTAGGGAGACTTGGGAAAGCTCCTACTATAATATTTATCATGGTTCTATTATGTTTAAAGGTCTTTGGTTATACTGCGTTGGATGCTTCATCTTGGTTTCAGACTTTCTGCTATTTTGGCATCCCTGGGCAGGAGAACCTGGAGCTGATGGATTTTTTTATTTTTTATTTTAAATATACAAAGCCTTGCTCTGTTGCCCAGGCTGGAGTGCAGTAGTGCAATTGTAACTCACTGCAGCCTGGAACTGCTGAGCTCAAGTGATCCTTCAATCTCAGCCTCTCCAGTCTGGGATCACAGGTGTGTGCCACAATGCCTAATTTTTAACTTTTTAAAATAGAGATGGGATTGTGATGGTTAATATTGAGTGTTAACTTGATTCAAGATTGAAGGATGCAAAGGATTATCCTGAGTGTATCTGTGAGGGTGATACCAAAGGATATTAACATTCGAGTCAGTGGCTGGGAAAGGCAGACCCACCCTTAATCTGGCAGGGGGCACCATCTAATCAAGCTACCAACATGGCCAGTATATAAAGCAGGCAGAAAAATGTGAAAAGGCTAGACCGGCCTAGCCTCCCAGCCTACATCTTTTTCCTGCGCTGAATGTTTCCTGCCCTTGAACATCAGACTCCAAGTTCTTCAGTTTTCGGACTCAGACTGGCTCTCCTTGCTCCTCAGCTTGCAGCTGGCCTATAGTGGGACCTTGCGATCATGTGAGTTAATACTACCTACTGAACCCCCCTTTATATATATCTCTCTTCTATTAGTTCTGTCCCTCTAGAGAATCCTAATATAGGAGTCTTGCTGTGTTGTCCAGGCTGGTCACAAACTCCTGGCCTCAAGTGATCCTCCTGCCACAGCCTCCCAAGCTTCTGGGATTACAGAGCTGAACTACCACGCTCAGCCACTGATTGATTGCTAAGCATTCCAAGTCCAGGGTTATTTGGAGCTCTAGGTTTGTGGGTTACATTCCCAGTTTACATTAGTTCTTCCTTCACATCTTCTTACTTCTCCACATCTTGTTAAACAGTGATAGTTACAGGAACATTCGAATGTTTCTTCATTTGCCAAAAATGGTGTTTGTAAGATTATTTTATGTCCATCATGGTAATGGTTTCTAGTGCAGCAAAATGAGGTCATGCTGGCTGTATGTTACTCTTTCACATTATCACTATCATTCAGCCTTAATTTTTAGTAAATCCTAAACTCAAGGTTATCTTTTAAGAAAATAGTTTAGGTTCATATGCAATTATCAAGCACCTTCTGAATGTCAGGCCCTGTGTTAGATCCTGGGCTGACAAGGATAACTCGCACTGCCTCTAGTGAGAGGAAACAGATACCCCAACAGTTTACTTTAAACCATGATTTTGAGGAATACATTGGGGAAAACAGAGCTTGTTGACCAGTTAAATGTCAACTAAAGAAAAGTGAAAGGAAAGTGTCTAGGATCGTTTCCAGGTACTGCTGACCATGTTCTCCTCTTTGAAACTCTCCTTCCCTGGGCTTCCCTCCACCTCTTTCAGTGTTGGTTTACTTGTTGGACATTCAGTTGTTCTCTCCTTTGCTAGGTCCACTTGAGGGCACAGTGCTTAAATGCTGGTGTCCTCAGGACCTCATCCTCAGCTGTCTGCTCTCTTCTCTATCTCCTCATAGGGGCAAGGATTTCCAAAGCTCTGAGCTCAGCCCTCTCTCCAAGGAGCACACTCATGTTTCCTGGCGTCTGTTAGATAGCTCCACTTGCCACAAGCCCTGTGCCAGACCCTCTACCCACAAAGCTGCAGGTCAGTGGTTGCTCCCTGGGACCTCTTAACAGAGGGAAATGGAAGTGGATGGATGCTTATGCAGCCCTGTCTGGTAGGAATATAATGCCAACCACGTATGTAACTTTAACTGTCTAGTAGCCACAATAACAGATAAAAATAAATGAAATTAATTCTAATAACATATTAACCCAATATACCCAGCATATCATTTCAATATAGAACCAATGTAAAAAATTTTTAATGAAATATTTTTTTCATATTGAATCTTCAAATTCAATGTGTATTTTTAAAATTTACTTTATGTTTTTTAGGAGACAGGGTCTTGCTCTTTTGCCCACACTCAAGTACAGTGGTGCCGTCATAGCTCACTGCAGCCTCAAACTCCCTGGTTCGGGTGATCCTCCCATTTCAGCCCCCCAAGGAGCTAAGATTACAGGCACACACAACCATACTTGGCTAATTTTTAAATTTTTGGTAGAGACAGGGTCTCACTATGTTGCCCAGGCTGGTCTCAAACTTCTGGCCTCAAGTGATCCTCCTGCGTTGGCCTTCCAATGTGCTGTGATTGCAGATGTGAGCCACTGCACAGGGCGCAACGTTTGCAGTAGCCACAGTTCAAGTGCTCACTAGGCACATGTGACCAGTGGCCCCCATATTAGCCAGTACAGTTTAAAATGAAAAAGGTAGCCTGTGAGGCTGGGCAAAACACTCCTGTAAGTATGCTAGGATACAGAGATTGTGGCACTATTTTTATGATTCATGTGTATTTTCTGTTCCTTATTGATTCTCTCCTAATATTTAGAGGTCTTTGAAATGCCCTTCTTTCTTAGCAGTGCTGAGAAGAATGAAGCAAGTATTCTTCCTCCATGCTGGGAGGGGATTTTCAAGGGAGAGCAGCTTATCTCCCACTCAGTCCTACCCCACCCTTAGAGGGAAATCCCAGGGGGAAGGGGAAGTTCTCACCACAGATCCCTTCCCTACTAGGATAGTCCCTTCTTAAAAGCTAACTGAAATCTCTGGATTTTGGTTTAGAAGGAAATCACACTTTTTTTTTTTCCATAGTTTTTCATAATTTTAGTATCTTAGCTGCCAGAAATAGAATTTATTACTTTATAATAATTATTATAGCCAAAGCCACCATATATTCGGGATTTCCCAGGGTGGTGTCAGTTTTGAATACTATTTCTTTCAGGCAGGCATGGTGAATTTTGGTTCAGAAAATAGGATCAGTCTATCACGCCCTTGATGGTTAACTACTGGAGAGTCACTATGGTGATCAACCAATGGGTGCTCCCTAGTTCCTGAAACTGAGAACTTCAGTCTGGATACTTCTCTATAAATGGTTTCAGTAGTCTCTGCTGCTTTTCCCGGGGATCTGAAAGAGTTCTCTAAGAAGCCCCCACTTCTCAGGCGGCAACAGGGCAGGTGCCTGGGCGGTAGTCCTTATGCTACTGTTCATAAATCAGCCTGAGTTTTTTGGGTGTTTTTTCTGAGGAGGAAGAGATTTAAAGTTATGTATAGGCAACAAAGCTTTCTAATAATATTTTTGGCAGGCTACTAAAGGAAGATGAAATACGAAAAGGCCCTGGGAGAGTGGTGGTAGCCCTTGGGACGCCGGCCAGATGTAGGTGCTCACAAATCGGGGGAGACAATGGCCTTTACTGTTACCATTTACAACCCCAGGCATGCTCATTAATCATCAACGAAAATGATTTCACTTTCAGGGTCTAGGCAGGTCAAGGCTGGGGTTGGGGAGGGCTGTGGCAGGAGGCCAGGCTTCCAGGCTGGAAAAGTGTCCCAGAGACCCACTGGGGGGGGGGGGGGAACGCCCTCCCCCGTTCCCCCTCCCCCCTATCAGGGCGAAGGGCACCAGGAGGCGGAGCGGGGGTCGAGGTGGGGGTGGGTGCGTCACCCTTGTTTTCCGGGCTGTCAGTCTCCCAGCGTCCCCCCTTTCCAGGTAGGGACGCCCCCTCCCACGCAGCGCGGTTCCGGCGGGTGGGAAGGAGGGGCTGGGCTCCCAGCGCCCGCCCCTCTATCCATCACATGGCCGGAGAGTCACAAAAACAACAGCTTTGGCCAAGACCGTGACTTCAGGAAAGGGAACCCGGGGCTCTCGCAGCCAGCCCTCCTGCCCATGGAGGACAGTTTCCTTGAATCTTTTGGGAGGCTGAGCCTCCAGCAGCAGCAGCGGCAGCGGCAGCCGCCGCCCCGGCCGCCCCCGCGGGGGACACCTCCGCGCCGCCACAGCTTTAGGAAACACCTCTACCTCCTGCGAGGCCTCCCGGGCTCCGGGAAAACAACACTGGCCAGGTAATAACAGCGGCCTGGGCGCCGGCGCGCGGGCCAGGGGCCACCAGCGCCCCGGCCGAGCGCACCCTTGCCCCAAGCCGTTCCCGGGCGCCGCTTGCGCCCCCGCCGCGGGCGCCTGCCCCAGCCCCGGCCCGGCCTGAGCCTGGCAGCTCGGGAGCCCAAGCTGCCTCCCTCGCCCTCTGGGGCCGCTGCCACCCCTGGGGGCGCGGGCGCGGAGAGGAGGGCGCTCATCCTGTTTGTTTCCCGCCGCGCTGTCCCAGGAGGACGGATTCCGGCACTGCGCCTCGCGCAAGCCCCGGCGGCCCCGGCCCCTTCCCCGCCGCCGTGCTCCGCCTGGGCCGAGGCAGACTTCGCCGCCCCCAGCCTCCCCAGCCCCGGGTCGGGGAGGCCCTCAGGGACTCTTCTTCGGGAAAACCCCGTGGTTACTGCCGGGAAAACCGCTGGGCCCCTCTGGCGCGCAGGCGGCCGCCACAGTGCGTCAACAGGCGCTGTAACCAGAGTGGATAAACGAGGGGTCCGGGGTCGGGGGGCCCAGGGCAGCCATGGCTGTAGCCGTGGCCGTGGCCTGGGGCTGGTGGCCCGCTTTGGAAATCTGGTGGAGTCGGGCAGCCTGCGTTTGCTTTGGCAGCTGCGAAGGCGCACAGGTGCACGGGGGAGGGGGCCGAAGGCGCCACCACCGACCGTCATTGATAGAGCCTCGCCATGGGCGCCCAAATTCGCTCACTTGCGAATTGCGTAAGCGGCTCTCCCTGTACCCAGCCGCCGGGAATTACGCGGGCTTGTGCCTGCGGCCACCTTGCTAGGCCCCACCGCTCTAGCCTGAACTCCCACCGCTCCCTGCCTTGCGCTTGATGTTCCAGCAACGTCGAACTGTTTATCTCCTGTAAACCAAGCTGCTTCTCTCCTTGACGCTGGCCTTCCTGCTTAGCTTGCCCTCCCGCCTTCTTTTGCCTTTTAAGACCGGGCAACGACCCCACCCCACCAGTAGATGCGCCTCTTCTGGGCTCCTTGGCTTCCTGTTGACACCTCCGTGACTGCGCTTGGTTTTGCACATGGTGTTGCTTATCCTTCTGTAAGTTTTTTGAAGGTAGGGGCCATGTCTTACCCTGCCAAGCACATTGTCTGGCACGTAGTAGCTGTTCAATAGAGGAAGTGGTCCCTTTCCCTCAAAGAGCTTCCCGTCTCACTGAAGAGATGAGGCTAGCCGTGGGACCAAGAAACTGCCGAAGAATCAAGGTGATGGATGAACAGTCACGTGCGGATTTCCATGGTACCGAGGTAGTGACCTTAGGAGGGGGGACAGCCTGGGGAGGTGCTCCTCGTTGATTTGTGGAGTAGAAGCCTTTGGCCAGAGTATTGCTACAGTTTCACAGACTGTAGGGCCATGTGACTTCTGGAGGACCCTGGGCGCCCTTTCCTAAACCAGGGACACAGTTCAATAGACTCTGGCTCACTGGGGAGGGGCAGAGGCAGAGTCGGGGAGCCTCCTTGGAACCCAGCATAAGTTGGTTCTTTTGTGGTACTGTCATGGTGGGCAAATCTGTTACCAACCAAGTATCTTCTGAATGCCAAATCCTGTGTAATTTCACTTTCGCTTTGCTGATCTGTGGCCTGTCTCACACCGAGTGTCAAAGAGACTGAGTGTCAAAGAAGGAAGTAAACATCTTTGGCCGGATTTAATTTCTGACTGTGTTGGGAAGCGAAGTAACGTGATGGGTGCAATATACACAGAATGGAACATGAGGGGTTTGGACTCACATTCCTCATCTGTGAAGCCAGGGCACTGCCTGAGTGGTTCTTAGGGTCCTTTCTGGCTCTAACATTCTACACTTTTAGGATTTTAATTCCTGATTGGCGTTGGCTAAGCAGAAGACACCGGATGAGAGACCAGCTATTACAGATCATCTCTGTCTCTCTAGGGACGACGGGAGTGAGCACTGGCCTGGGAGTCTGAAGATTGTTCCTTCAGACCTACTCTGTCACTTACTAGCTGGCGACTCTGGGCAATCATGTAGTTTTTCTGGGCCTTCTGTGTTTTATATGTGACTACTAAGAGGTTAGGAGATTAGAGGGTATATTAAAGATCCTTCTGACTCTTAATTTCCAGTTGTCAGATTAAAAATAGTTTGCTAATAATGGCAATGTTAAAGAGCTCTGACCTTGGAGTCACTTTATGGTTTCAAAGCTCTGCCACTCACTAGCTTTGCTTTTCACTCAACCCTTCTGTGCCTCGGTTTCCTTTTCTGTTAAATGGGGATATCTGCTCTGTTTGCCTCGGAGGGTTTTGTGAAGATTAAATGTGAGTGGGAGGACTTTTTAAACTTCACAGTGCTATATACATTTTAAAGGGTATTAGTTACTGTTTCCATTGTTGGTCAGCTGGGATAAATCTTCAGCGTTCCCTGGAGACTGGCTCTGGAGGGAAGAAGGCAGCTTGGCAGTTGACTTTGAGACCCCTTGTTTTGCTGGGCATTGGCAGTTATAGGAGCAGAGCAGCCTTGGCATGCCATAGGGTGGCTTGTGTGTGTGTAGAAAAGTCTGGGAAGTAAGCAAGGAAACAGGTCATAGCTTCAGCGGAAGGGAGGCCTGAGGTGAGGATGGAGTGGTGGTGAAGCAGACTCAGGTGTGATCCACCAGGAGCTGCCTTCCCCACTTTTTTTGTGGGGTGGGGTGGGGAAGAGGAAGAGGGCATATTGTTTAAAAACACACATGTATAGAAAATAGTACAGACTTTAAGGTTATCTATGTATTGTTGGATTCTGGGAAATTCACATTTTCTCTATTCTATGTATTTTCCAAATTTTCTATAATGAATATGTATTTCTTAAATCAGAATAATAAAATTTTTTTCTTTAAAATTTGGAGGAAATCACTTTTTGCAAATGTGGGTTCATCTTTTTCTGCTTAACCTTTTTTCTCATTTGATTAAAGAACTAATAAAAAAAATTTTGAAATTAGGGTAAGTTTTGTCTCCCAAATCAATGTTAGATTTCTGTGATTTTTACTTATATGATTTCATAGTTTGAAGTGGCTGAAATGTAGAAAAACATCTCTTTAAATTATTTGAATTTATTTTTAAAACACTGAAGTTTTAACTGGTGAAAAATTTTTTCAGCACATCAAAGTACTAAAAAATTAGCATGTACCCTAAATCTATTTTATCACCTGTATTTCATTTAAAAAGCATCTTAAAAATAGGTTCTTATCATTGACCTATAAGCTGTACTTCCAGGAATTCATCCTAAGAAATAATTGGAGGCCAGGAGTGGTGGCTCACACCTATAATCCCAGCACTTTGGGAGGCTGAGGTGGGCAGATGGATCACTTGAGGTCAGGAGTTCAAGACCAGCTTGGCCAACATGGTGAAACTCCATCTCTACTAAAAATACAAAAATCAGCTGGGCATGGTGGCACATACCTGTAATCCCAGCTACTCAGGAGGCCAAGGCAGGAGTATGGCTTGAGCCTGGGAGGCGGAGGCTGCAGTGAACTGATATTGCACCACTGCATTCCAACCTGGGTGACAGACCCTGTGTCAAAAATAAAGAAAAAAGAGAAATGTGAGCCAGCTTATAGCTACAAAAACAGAGGAATAGCTTATAAATCATGCAGTCATTAACAGGAACACAGATGTATATTTGACATGCATATATATTCACACTGCTCCTATTAAATTAAAAAAAGATACACATTTCATTTTGTGTTCAAAGAAGGGGATCTACATATATTTGAAGAAAAATATGTGAAAAGATATCTATCTATTGATAGTTGTTGACTTTAGGTGGTGGGATTATGAACTTTCCCCTTGATTTATTTTCTAGTTTTTCTAGAACAAATATATTATCACTTGATAAGTTTTTAAAGATGAAAATGACAGCATCTGTGGGTGAACCTCTGTGCTTTCCACTGTGTGTTCAATGCCTTCTGGTTTTGACCATTTAAACCATTTATAGTATACAATCCACTGGGATTGTATTATGTGGAACTACATTCACAGTGTTGTACAATCATCACCACTATCTATTTCAAAAATTTCTTATCACTCCAAACACACTCTGTGCCCGTTAAGCAATAACTCCCTATCCCCAGTTGCTGACCCCAGGTAACCTCTCAGCTGCTTTCTGTCTCTATGCATTTGCCTCTTTTACATGCCTCATGTAAGTGGGTCATATGATATCTTTCCTTTTGTGTCTGGCTAATTTCATGTAGCTTAATGTTTTCAAGGTTCATCCATGTTGTAGTGAGTGTCAGAACTTCACTATTTTTATATCTCAATAAAATATTACATTGTGTGGGCATACCACTAAAACATCCTTTTTAAATGAACTGGCCATAATAGAGGGTAGCCTTTCTTCGTAATGGTCTTATTAGAAAAATAAAAAGTTGTCAACCTTATTTCAGCTCCCCAGAATTTTTTTGAATCTTTACATTTCAATCAAAGCAAAGTCGGGGGGACTACGCTCCAGTACATGTTGCATCTTTTGCAAAGTTCTGGTTCCTTTTGGCACCATCACAAACGGTTTGTACCATGGATTCAGTTAGCTCAAAGGATGCTTGCTGATAGCTGTCTTTTCTCCTTATTCATATCTCTGGATAACATGGAATTTTCCATCACGAGAAGTACCTTTTCATTATAGAGCCTTGCATGGAAGTGAAAGGATGCTTTTCTAATGTGATGCAATGGTGTGGCAGAGATGAGGAGAAAAGCATACTTTACAACCAGATAAGCAGTGGAATGTGAGAAACAGAACAGGAGGCCATGTAGGTTGGCTAAGTGAGCAGCTGGACCCCAAAGAATACTCTGCTCCACAGTGCTCCTAGCCAGCAGGCCTGGACTGTGGTGGGTTTCTTTATGAGGCCAGGGCTTTCATTAATAAAAGCAAGATCAAGAGAGAGAGTTTGCAGCATTTCAACTCTGAATATGAAAATGGAGGGTCAGGCAGGTGATATATCAAATCCTTAGTCATCTAGCTCTACTTGGAAAATGACCACCAGATTTT